TGACAGAACCCTCTTCTCGGTCGACCTGGCCACTCTGGTAAGAGGTCGGGGAAAAGCGCGGAGCCCGGCCGGGTCCACCAGTCCCAGGGGCCCGTAAGAGGCCCACACACACCCTCTCCCCAGCCCAGCCGTCCCAGGCAGCTCCCGGTGGGACCAGCACGGGCCCCGGTTCCACTCGGCTATCCTGGAAGAGGCTGGCAAAGCGGGGTCGGAGAAGCCGGCTAGGGGGCGGCGCCCCCATCCTGTTCCCCACCACAACCCGAGAAGACCCTCCGGCGACCCCCGGTGGCCCGGGCCTGCAGCGGGGGGCGCGGGGGGCCTGGGGGGGGCGCGGGGTCTCGGGCGGTCAGCACTCACCGGCACGGTCATCTTGGCCGCCGCCCCCGGGGCCCTGCGGCAGCGGCGCGGGCTGGCTCGGGGCTCGGTGGGCCCGCGCCGCTCACAGCCCCCGGCGCCGGCTCCCGGCGCTCTCCGCCGCTGCCCTCAGTCTGCTTTCCGCCACCGGACAGTCCGGCCGCTCCCCCCCGCGCCGCGCATGCGCCGCCCGCGCCGCCCCTCCCCCTCCCGCCTGCTCCGCCGCCGCCCGCGTTAAAGGCGAGGACCCGGGACCCCTGCATTTTTCTGTCGGCACAACAGGGAAAGGAGGCCGTGTTTCCACACCTTGCCCGTCCTTCCAAAGGCCACCTCCAGGCGCACTATTAGAAAAAAAAAAAATCCCATCCGGTCCGCCCACCCGGTTCTGGAGCCCAGAATCCCCACCACCCCCACACACACACCACCACGCGACACGTCCCTTGGTGTGGGTCCCAAGGCTCCTACTCCCCAGGTCTGGGAGCAGATAGGGTAGAGACTCCCTGGGTTCTGACGGCGATCTTAGATCAGCTAGCAGTACGCCAGAATTCCTCTGCACCCCCCGCCCCAAGCTGAGAGGGAGCCTAAGGCTGCTCCAGGGCCCACTCGATCCCCCGGGGAGCTCCAAGCAGCCTGACTTAACCATGGGTCCCCCCGAAAGAGAAATTTAGAGTGCCTTTTAGGGAGGGTCCCACAGTGGGCCCTCCTGCCTAGGACTGGAAGACAGGCTGTCCTTCGGAGATCTGAGCCTTCGTTTCCCCCATGTTAACACCCCTAATTTCTTCAGCTGTTGCACACCTGACGTGGTACCCAAACATGCACCTGCAAGCAGTGGGCACGTGAACACTGGTCTTCAGACTGCCACACTCCTGCTGTTTTCACCTTCCTCTCAGTGCACCGAGACTCTGCTCTGCTGCCCAACCACATACAGACCGTCACTGCTCCAGGGGACCTCTTCCTGAACAAGGCCAAACCCAGGGTAGTTAGTGGCTACTGTTTCCTGGGTAGGTGAGCACGTACCTACACCGAGTGGGAGATGGACTCCTTGGGCAGGTGTCTAGAAAGTCAACCTACTGCTTTCCCAAAGAAGCAGGTACATAGCCTGTCCCAAAAAGCTGATTGGCAGCTGACTTCGCTCATGAGAGGACCTAGGGGCCGAGAGCTTCAGCTAGCCCGCTAGGAAATTTGTAGTATTGTACCTAGAGACAAGGTGGCTGTGGCTCCTCCTCTTCCTCCTCCTCCTCTTCTTTTTCTCTTCCTTTCTTTTCCTCTTCCTCCTCCTTGTCTGGTTTATTTTATTTTATTTATTTATTTATTTATTTATTTATTTATTTATTTATTTATTTATTTATTTTTGTGTGTGTGTGTGTGTGTGTGTGTGTGTGTGTGTGTGTGTGTGTTTGTGCATCCATGTATGTACACCATGTATCTGCCTGGTGCCCTCAGAGGTCAGAAAAGGGCATGGGATCCTCTAGAACTGGAGTTATAGATATTGTTCGCAGCAGCCATGTGGGTGCTGGGAACCAAACTTGGACTCTGTGCAAGAGCAGAGAGAGCTTTTAACCGCTGAGCCATCTCTCCAGTCCCAGGGACAAGCATTTTTGTCTTCCAAGTGTACAGTGGGTGGGTATCTGACTTCCTCAGAGGCTCAGGGGTGGCCCCAGGTCCCCCAACTTTTTCCTCCTAAGGTCGGGGCAACCTTGGTCCCCTCAACCCCTAGGTAGATTCTGAGAACGGCCCAACAGGAAAGGGGTATATTCGAGAAAGGGGCCATCAGGACAGCCACCAGACCCAGGTCCTAGATCTAGGTCTGATGAGGGGGCCCTTCTCTGCTTTGAATAGGGTTGCCCCTGTACCTCTTGAGTAGCTGTTCCCAGTGCTGTGCAAGGCATTGCTAGGAGAGGGCAGACAAGGCCACAGCCACCAGAGGGGTGCCTGGGCCGACAGCTGCCATCTCCTCAAAGGGCATTCTGTGTGTGTCTGGCACATGGCCCTACCCGTGCCCACCCGCCCGCGCCCAGCTGGCACCCGGGCTTCTGAGCCGAGAACAGCAGCCTAGCCTGGCGCCTGGGCTCCAGGCCACACGCGCCCGAGGTCTCGGAGGCCCGCCCCTCTAAGCCAGGCTCCGCCTCACCTCCCTTCCTTTTCTTTTTCTTTGGCCCGGGAATCTCGCAGACTTCTGGCTCCTCTCCCTTCTGTCTATTCTAGGTGTCCAGGCCAGAAGTCGGGGAGCAGTGGGTAAAATACCCCTTTCACACTATGGGTACAGGGAAATGGGGACTCGGGATAGCGCATGTAGGGTTGGGCTTTGAAAGACAGCTAATAGTCCTTGCCTCCAGCGTGGCGCACAGCAAACTCCCAGGGAAAAGGCTCCCTGGCAGAGATCAGGAGCTTGGGTATGGGGTGTGAAGCCGCTAGAGGAGGATCCCTCTGGGATCTGACTATCCTGGATCCCTAGAGGCCATGGCTGCTCTTCCCTCTCACTAAGCCTTGCAAATGATTCCAGAATGACTCACCAAGTTCTTCAGAGAACAGCCTGTGGGGATGTCCAGACCAGAAGCAGCTGGACTGCCTGACGGAGGCGCCACAATAGAGAGGGTCCTTGAGGGCTCACCGGGACCCTCGGAGGAGGGCACTCCCTCCGGACCACAGGGAGGAAGCAGCATACTCAGCTGTCCAGACGCTTCTGTTCCCTGGGCCTTGGCACATCTCTAGGGACTGAGGACTGGGAGGTGGCTTCTTTATTCCCCTCCCACTCTTACCCAGGGGACTTTCGTGGTCCAGAAGCCTCTGGCCCAAGAGAATACAGCGAGTCTTTGAAGACTCTGTGACAATTTTACCTTAGCATGGTACCTTTGTCACCGTTAGTGAGCCTGTATTGCATATTATTAACCAAAGTTCACACTTTGTTCAGATCTAAGTTTACCCCACTGTCCTTTTCTGATCCAGGATTATAGTTGTCATGTTTTCTGAGTCCTCCTGTCAAAAACTGTGACAATTTCTTTGACATTTCTTGTTTTGATGACCTTGACATTTTTGAGGTATGTTGGTCAGGGAGTTTATAGAATGCCCCTCCTTCCGTATTCATTTGACGATTCTCTCATGATTACTCTGGGGTCATAGTGTTGATGAGGAAACCACAGAGGTAAAATGCCACCCATCATATCAAGGGCACATACCATCAGCATGGCTCACTGCCGTTGGCCATGGACTTTGATCTCTTGCTGAGGCGGTGCTGGCCGGTTCTACCGCTGTGAAACCCTCCCTCCCTCTCCAGAGGAAGTCAGTGCACACAACCCTGCTCGAAGCTTGTGCTCTGCCTCCTCTAGGAGCTCCTTTTAAATTACTTGGAATTTACTTTCCATATGAGAGAATTCGCCTCTTCACGTATATTTCAATCTTTTATTTTACCATGTGGGCGGGCCCAGGAATGTTGCTTGAGACAGGGTGTCTTGTATTCTGGGCTGGCCCTGAACTTGCTGTGTAGCCAAGGATGACCTTGAACTCCTGATTTTCCTGCTGCTCCCCCCCCCCCCCCCCCCAAGTGCTGGGATCACAGGCTTGCTGGTGCAGCCACACCACTCTGAGCCTTGTGTCTGTTCTCTCGCCTCCCTATGATTAGTGCTGGGAATTCAGGTCCTCGGGAAGAATGGGAAGTGCTCTGAACCACTGAGCCATCTCTCCAGCCCCTATTTTCTAGAGTTCATTTATTATTTATGCTGGGTTTTTTGTTTTTGTTTTTGTTTTTACAATAAACACTTTTTTCCCCCTGTGTAAGGGTGTCAGAGCTTGGAGTTACAGACAGGTGTTAGCTGCCATGTGGGTGCTGGAAATTGAACCCAGGTCCTCTGGAAGAACAGTCAGTGCTCTTAATCACTGAGCCATCTCTCCAGCCCCAGTAAACACTTTTTAAATTGTGGCAAAATACAAATAACCCAGAACTAGGCATTTTCATCAGGCTGATGTTTTCACTGAACTCAACTCAATAACTCAGGAAATTCCTTTCATCTCAGAATCTTTAGTCACATACACAAAGTGCCTTTCGCCTTCTTGGGTAATAGATTCCAGAGATTAGGGTGAGGATGAATTCGAGGGTCATATTCAACTGACCACAGGGAGGCTCAGGCATTGGCCTTGCTGTTCTCAGAGGTAAAGACCAATCCTCAGTAGTCACCCACATACCACTCAGAAAACCTGTCCCAGATACAGGCCATTCCCTGACTAGGGGGCAGGTGACTCACCCCTAAGTAGCTTGAATGGCGAAGTGAAGCCCTTTCTCCCTCATAGGCAGCATGCCTGAACTCCTACCAGGGTTTGGCCAGTGTTGAAATCCTTTGCTCGGTTTAAGTATCAACTCTCACTGCTAATGGGAACAGCTAAAAAGGAGGGGCTGTAGTGGGCACTCTGACAAGAGGCCCAAACCCCTATACCAAGAGATTCTTTTGACACCAAAATTCCAGGAATGTTTATATTTTAAAAATTCTCACAAGTAGTCAGGGGAACATAGGCTATGTATGAACATGAAAACCTTAGGACTTACATGTTCAATAATGGACATTGGTTAATCAAGTCATGGGTGGTTGGTTACTGCTCTAGTTAGCAGCCTGAACCTGGGAGAATGGGGCCTAAAAATGAGGTGGACTAAAGTCTCATGCAATAGCCAGCTTTATTCAGAGCATCAGACAATTTATACTCTGAGGGTTAAGAAGAGTCACCCGAGTCTCAGTGACAAGACAAGCCGCATGAGGCAAAAACATGTTTTTCCATAGAGGCATATGAACAAATAATAGCCAGTATAATAATCTGAAGTGAACTCACTCCTGTCCACCACACCTGGGAGGGTCAGAGAAGCACATTCCAAGAACAACCCATGTAATGGAGGAACCGAGATCACAAGACTCTTGTCTCGTTTGCTTGGAGTTTTTCCACAAGGTCTCAGAAATCTCCTCACACAGCTGTGTTCATGGACCCTGTCCCGACAATGGGAATGCTCAGACAGCAGAATCTGAGTACAGAACAGATCCAGCAGGAATATATGCTGACAGTTTTCTGTAACAAGAGAAAAAGAGAATAAACTCCCACAGTTGCATAAAATCTACATTGATGTCATGCACTTGTACTGGGAACTGACAGGAGGAGAAAACACCAACTGTGGTTTTATGTTGAAGGTGGGAAGATGGGGTTGGTACCATGCTAGCTCAGAAAGGGAGTCTCTTTTGTCTTTTCTCAATTTTCACAGACAAGGTTATTTTACTTTTGAGACAGGGTTTTTCTGTGTAGTCCTGGCTGTCCTGGAATTTGCTCTGCAGACCAGGCTGGCCTCGAACTTGGATATCTACTTGCTTCTGCTGGGATTAAATGCATGTGCCATCATGCCTGATTTGTTTTTTCTTTCGTTGTTTGTTTAATTTTTATTGGGATGGAGAACAGTTTGGGTGACTATAACTATTTTTTTAAGTTTATTAAGATTTATGTCTGCGAGTGTTTTGCCTGTTTGTATATGTGAACTAAATGTGTACCTGGTGCCCATGGAATTCAGAAGAAGGTATTGGGTCTTCTGGAACTGGAATTAGGGATGGTTGTGAATATCATATCGGTGTTGGGAACTGAACGCTGTCCTCTACAAGAGCAACACATGCTCTTAACTGCTGAGCCATTTCTCCAGCCCCTAACTATAATTTTTTTTATTTTCTAATTTTTCAACTTTTATCTATGAGAGAGAATCCTTGGAGCTGATGTTGAGAGACACCTGATGTGGGTGCTGAGAACCCAAGACCTCTGGAAGAACAGCTAGTGCCCTTAACCACTGAGCCATCTCTCCAGCTCCTGTTTTCTAAAATTTTCCTGAGTTCATTTATTATTCATGCTGGTTTTTTCAGTAAACACTTTTTAAATTATGGTAAAATATAACTAATCCAAAATTAGCCATTTTCATCAGTGTTAAACATACATTTTAGTGGCATTAAACACATTCAAACCCTCTGTGTGACCTTGGAAACTGGAGAGGCAGATCAGTTAGGAAAGTACCTGCGACAAAAGCGTGAGGCCCTGAGTTCCTATCCCCAGAACCCCCACCAGCTGCTCAAATCATCCAGCTTCAGAGGATCTACTACCTCTGCAGGTACCTGTACTCACACACATATTACTCTTATGCACACCCACTTAAAAATAAATCTTTTTTTTTTTTTTTTTTTTTTTTAAGATAGGGTTTCTCTTTGTAGCTCTGGTTGTCCTACTCTGTAGACCAGGTTGGCCTTGAACTCAGAGATCCTCCTACTTCTGCCTCCCAAGTGCTGGGATTAAAGGTGTGCACCACCACTGCCTGGCAAAATAAATAAATAATAAATAAATCTTTTTTAAAAAATATAATTTATTTATTTTTATTTTATTTGTATTGGTGCTTTTTGCTGCATGTATATAGACTGTGTGAGGGTGTCAGATCTTGGAGTTACAGACAGTTGTTAGCTGCCATGTGGGTGCTGGGACTTGAACCCAAGTCCTCTGGAAGAGCAGTCAGTGCTCTTAACCACTGAGCCATCTCTCCAGCCCCCCAAAATAAATCTTTTAAAAATTACAAACGACCCTAAGTGAATAAGCAAAGCACAACCAAAGACAAATAGTATTTGATGTCACTTACGCAGGGAGCCAAAGATTCAGAAAGTGCACAGGAGGTTACCAGGAGCTGAAGAGTGGAGAGGTTACTGTGTCATGAGCTCAGGGCTTCTGTTCAGGATGATGAAAATATGTGGAAATGGACAGTGATGATGATCACGGAAGTGTGTGTATATGTGTTGTGGAATAATCTTTTTGTGCACTGTGAAGATGTGTCTTTGCCAAGGTGCTTTCTGATTGGTTTAATAAAGAGCTGAATAGCCAATAGCAAGGCAGAAAGAGGTTAAGCAAGACTTCTGGGTAGAGAGAGAGGGAGAAGAGGAGATGAATCTGGGTGTGAGAGATACCAGAGGACACAGAGAAGGAACAGAAGGTGCAAGATGGAAGAGAGGTAAAAAGCCACAAGGCAAAAATGTAGATTGATATAAATGGATTAATTTTAGTTATAAGAGCTAGCGGGACAAGCCTAAGCTATAGGCCGAGCTTTCATAATTTAGTAAGTCTCTGTGTCATCTTTTGTGAGCTGTAGCCCAAAGAAAAATCCATTGTGTGTGTGGCTGATGCTTGAACACATATACAACTCAGGTCTTCTGCAAGAGCAGTGTGTGCTCTTAATTGCTGAGCTATCTCTCCAGCCTCTACAAGTGTAACTAGTTTTGGTTTTTCAAGACAGGGTGTCTCTGTGTAGTTTTGGTGCCTATCCTGGATCTCGCTCTGTAGACCAGACTGGCCTCAAACTCACAGAGGTCCACCTGGCTCTGCCTCCTGAGTGCTGGGATTAAAGCCACCACCCAGCTGTAACTAGTTTTTTTTTTTTTAAACAAACTTTTACACGTACAAGTGTTTTGTACATATGTGTGTGTACCATGTGCATGTCTGGTATCCATGAATGTCAGAAGATGGTGTTGGATCCCCTGGGACTGCAGTTACAGAAGGCTGTGAACTGCCACGTGGGTTTTAGAAATCGAACCTGGAGCTGGGCGGTGGTGGCACACGCCTTTAATCCTAGCACTCAGGAGGCAGAGGCAGGTGGATCTCTGTGAGTTCGAGGCCAGCCTGGGCTACCAAGCGAGTTCCAGGAAAGGCGCAAAGCTACACAGAGAAACCCTGTCTTGAAAAACCAAAAAAAAAAAAGAAATCGAACCTGGTCCTCTCCAAGAACAACCAGTGCTTTTAACCACTGAGCCATCTCTTCAGTCCAAGTGTAACTTATTTTTTAATACAATTTTTTATTATTTATTTATATTTTGAGACAGGGTTTCTCTGTGTAGCCTTGACTGTCCTGGAACTCACTCTGTAGACCAGGCTAGCCTCAAACTCACAGAGATCCGCCTGTCTCTGCCTCCCGAGTGATGGGATTAAAGGCATGTGCCACCACCGCCCGCCTGGCCAATTTTTATTTTTTATTTTTATTATTTTGTGTATGGGCATTTTGCCTACATGAACTTCTATGCACTTCATGTGTGCCTAGTGCCCTTGCTTCCAATCCCATGGAACTGGGGTTATAGACAGTTGAGAGCCATATGGGTGGGTGCTGGGAATGAAACCTATGTCTGCTGGAAGACCTTTGAGATGTCTTGCCAGCTCCAAACCCGAGATAGCAGAGGATGGCTTCAACCCATCAACCTCTGAGTTATGAACCTCCCAGGTGTAAAAAAAAAATTTCCCCCAAGACAGGGTTTCTCTGTGTAGCTTTGGAGCCTATCCTGGAACTCACTCTGTAGCCCAGGCTGGCCTCGAACTCACAGAGATCCACCTGCCTCTGCCTCCCGAGTGCTGGGATTAAAGGCGTGCGCAACGACCCAGCCGGGGCCCAGCCAGTTGTAACTTCTTTTTTTTTTTTTTTTTTTTTGGTTTTTCGAGACAGGGTTTCTCTGTGTAGCTTTGCGCCTGTCCTGGAACTCACTTGGTAGCCCAGGCTGGCCTCGAACTCACAGAGATCCGCCTGGCTCTGCCTCCCGAGTGCTGGGATTAAAGGCGTGCGCCACCACCGCCCGGCCAGTTGTAACTTCTTAAGGACAGTTTTTTTTTTTCTTCCTTCCTTCCTTCCTTCCTTCCTTCCTTCCTTCCTTCCTTCCTTCCTTCCTTCCTTCCTTCCTTCCCTTTCTCTTTCTTTTCCTTTTCCTTTTTTTCTTTCTTTTTTTTTTTTGAGATAAGGTTGGTCTTAGTATATAACTCTGGCTGGCTTGGAATATGATATGTAGACAAGGCTGTTCTCAAACTCTCAGAGATCTATCTGCCTCTGCTTTAAAAGAATTTGTTTTTGAGACAGGGTTTCATGTAGCCCAGGCTGGCTTCAAACTTGCTATGAAGCTGAGGATTATCTTAAATCCCTAAGCCTCTCCTCTCCATCTCCTGAGTTCTGGGATCACAGATGTGTACCATCACACCCAGCTAACTTTGAACAAGTTTTGAGAGAAATGCAATTACTAATTTATAAGAACCGCAAGCTATCCTGGGAAGATTCCCCACCAATCCTCTGGGGCCTCGTCTAAGGGTCTTCTCCAGGAGCCAACACTGAGAGAGACAGGGAGCGCAACTGAGCAATGAGCCGAGCCATAAAATATGAACTCCACATGCCAACCCTCCTCACCTCTAACAAGGCAAGAGATGAAAGAAGCGCTTTCACTGGACAGCTGAGCTGGGGCAGACCCCCAGAGTAGTCTGCTGGCCTCCTAGTCCTCCAGAATGTTTGCAAACACCCAGTGACCACAGTCCCTTCCAGGAACAAGCTCCCATCTTTAGTCACTGTGACAAGTGGAATTTCATTCTTCACTGGAAACAATCCCCAGGGCATTTCGTTTCTGAACTCAAAACAAAGCCAATGGCCTGAATAGTATACATTCTCTAAATAATTAAAGGGCCCAAATCAGCAGCTGTCATGTTGGGGTCATCAGCGCCAGTCCTCAAAGCCACAGTGTCATGTTCCCAGTGAGGGCAGATCATCAGGCACCTCCTTCAGAGGCTCTGTGATGCTGCCCAAGGCCAAGGGTCTTCCCTAGGAAGGGGGCAGGGCACTGGGAAAGTCTTGACTCTCAAGGAGTGAGACCTCTTTGTACAAACAGGAAGGAACTCAATGTAGGGAGCAAGGTCTGCATTTTGGCAAGAACTCATGGTACTTGTCAGCCTTGACCTCCAGTATCAGGGCAGGATGGGTTGGGGCCGGCCTGGATTTTGGTCCCTGTGTGAACTTCTGCCGGGTATCTTACTTTCAAAGGCTATTTCTTCCTCATCTGTCAAATGAGTTTTTCATAAGTCAGCCACCAGTGCCGGGGGTACCATCCCTATTGTACTCTGTGATGACATGAAACACGGTGGCCCAGGTCCAAATAAATGCAGTATCTGTTTTGCTAGGAAGCATTAGGACGTATCGAGTATGGGCTGGTGTGGCAACAGGAGGCACTCAGTTAAATGTCAATACTATCAGAATCGTATTT